TTCTTCGGTGTTCCAGAAGAATAAAATAACATCTTAAGAGTATTTAATGCAAATGCCACCCTATAGGATCAGTCGCAGGCGTTTGTTTGCTTTAGACACCTCAGATTTAACAAATGGGGTATTTTTGTTTGGTGAACCTGCTCACAACACATTTTCCCCATGGATCTCATGTTCCATTAAGTGCAATAAAGTTAGATAACAGCACAAACTTGCAGTGGCAGTGCGAGGGACATCTGTGGATGATCCCCTTTCCCAGATATGCATAACTAGCTTGTAAATAATACAGTGTTACCAGAATGCTGTGGGCGTCTTTCCTATCATAACTATGACGTTCTATAGGTGGTGACCACCAACCATTAAGCGGTCACCACGATGACGGTAGCCGTTGTTAATCACCTTGACTACCTATTGTAGTTGCTGGATCCGTGCTTATGTGCGACGTTAATTAAGGTTCCCCACATATGCACGGCAGCCCAATCCAATGAGCAACGACGGCCGCTTGTACACATGTCTCTACCAGTTTTCACTCATCTCGAACACTTGTTGTAACTGCTGGGCCCGCGTTTATGTGCAATGTTGATAATGAGACTGCACCTATGCACAGTAACACAATCCGATGGTCAATGACGGTCTTGTATACCGTTAACTATACGCGATCCCGCTTGTCTTCGATAGCTACAGTAAACATCAGTGCAATTTATACGCCGACCGGTGAAAATGAGGCCTCAGCTATGCGTGATAGCCACATCTGACAGCCTGTTATACTCACAACTGTGCTCGAGGCCATCTAACTTGGCTATTGATCGTACCTATTGATTCAGTGTCCTTGTGCATACATACCTAATCTAATGGCGACCGATTAACCTAATACTCAAAACTGAACGCGATATCGCCTACCCTGACTACTTATTGAAGCTGCTAGGCCAGTGCCTATATGCGACACTGTTTAGTAGGCCTTGGCTATGCGAAGTGTCTGATTTAACTTCCAACGATGATCCGTCATACCCATAAATGTGCGCGCTCTCGATTATATCATCATGGAGAGCATGAAATCAGTGCTAAATACAGATCTTCACTGTCGTACCTGCCTGCCACATACAGTAAGCACCAAGCTGGTATCTATGCAGGCCGATATAAACCAGGTTCCGACTATGCACGACATCTTAATGACCAACGGCTGTCCGTCATACTCGCAACTGCAGTTGATATCGCCTACCTTGGCTGCTTATCGTAATCGCCAACAGCTGAGTCTATGTGCAACACTTAGTATAAAGCTGACGGTTTTTCATACTATACGCGATGCTGCTTATCTTCGCTACCTACAGTAAACATCAATCCAATATATATGCCGACCAGCAAAAACAAGTACTCAACTATGGGTAATAGCGTAATCTGACAGCCTGTTATACTCACAACTGTACTCGAAGTCAACTAACTTGGCTATTTATCGTCATACTCATACTTACTCGATGCCGTTTGTTTGCTACCTTCAGTAAACACCGCAACTGTAGTCGAAGTAACCTACGTGACCACGTGACTATAGTAACTGCCGGGCCCGCACACATGCTCGTAGCTCATCGCCTATCAAACTGCAATCACCACCCATTTTGACAGCGCGCTCCCAACTCTTACTCTTGATTGTACCCCCTTGACCACCCACTCCATTACCGGAAACAATGAGCTGCCGCTCACCTCGATCACTTAGCGTAACTGCTATTCGCGACGCAGATTATGGGGCCTCGTCTATACACGGCAACGTAGTACAATGGCCAGCGACGGCGCTCCATGCTCATAACTCCACGCGTTGATGATGAGTCCGCCATGAATTTACAAAAACATCATTGGTGAATTGCATTTTATCCATTGGCATCACTGATACAAGCTTAATTGGTAGTCGCTCCATTTTTCATTTTCTTAAGATCCGCTTCACGGGACAAGGATTCTGAAACGGAAAATGGGCAAGCGATTAAAATTCGGGAACAGCACTTAAGCATCTGGATGTAATTGAATTTTATTTGTTTGCTTACCTAGTGGTTCATAATTCCCATTACCGAAATGTGGGATAAATGTATAGTCGTTGCGGATAGCCATGGGTTCATTGATTCCGCGTTTGAGGCCTTCGAGTTACAATCACTCGAATTATTCGTCATCACGGGATTCGAAAGCAGGGACTACAAAGCACATGCTAAGAAATTAGGCCTCTAGTTACCGGCCTCCATCAACTCCGAAATTGGGCAAAACAGTTTTATTGCGACTGTCTCACGTGGCAGACTCGGCTTGTCCTCCATGGACCGATCAAGATCAACATGAAAGCATGCTCTTTTAGTTGACTGACCGGCAACTAATGGTAATTGTTTAATTTATACATGTGCACTCACTTGGTGGACGCGCCTGAAGATTTTCTCCACACAGCGGGCAGGGCTCATTGCCGCAGCAATAACGGCGATATGAAAGGAGATCACGTTGACACCACCAATCAACAGGGTCAATTGGCTGGCCACAGAGACCACAGGGAACAGCGTTGTTTGACGTCAAACGCCACCGTGGTTGTTTGCTGTTGCCATCTAACACCAGAGGCTGATTGTCCTGACGCAACATCAGCTGGCTTTGGACAATCAGACGCTTCATGCACCCAGCAGCCTTACGCGATTCCGGCAGCTTCAGTTTGCCGATCAAGCTGCTTGCGAAAATGCTCTATTGGTGATGGCTCTGGCTTTGGAACCAGAGATAAAGGTACTTCTCCCTCCGGTAGATTATATTCAGCAAGCCACCGTTGATGGATTGGAAATTGACCTAGACACTGCATGTTCGATCAATCAACTTACCGCATGGAAACGAGTGGCCTCTGAATACTGAAAATAGGTGTACACAAGGCAGCCACATTGATTGGTAAAATATGCACGTGCAGGTTCCGGCCGAGGTGTTTACTGTCTGAGAACATTTGGGGGTTTGTACCACAAACTGACTGTTACTAACAACGGGCTTCTCACCTTGAAGCGATCTGTCTGCTTGTATAGCAGATTTGGCGTGCATATTCCAATGTGCCTGAGAACCTGATTAGCGGCGTATGTCGTCATCCGGGAAACCACACGTAGAACGTAGATATCTCCCTCCCGAATTTCTCGACGGTCACAACAATAAGTGGTGTGCATTTCATATTCCCGCATTAGCCATTCGCTGTGATGAGCGACCTTCAGAACGGCATGCTCTAGGCTATCTGAGTGATGCACGCGCCTCTTCAAACGCCCGTTGGCGTTCTCCAGGCGGTTGTTGGTCACATTCCTAAAATGTACCAACCCAAGTAGTGCATGAATGGCCCACTTTCGAGTGATGTGGAGCCAGTGGGCAGTCAAATAAGAGACAAAACTGGGATCTGTTCGCCTCAAGATTTGCAAATCGTGGCGAAATCTACGGGATTAGTGTTTGGTGCACAGTCACTTACTCAGCTGCATTATCAAAGCGAGCCATGCGGTGGAATATGTGTCGACTGTGGTTGGAAATTGTCTGCAAAAGTTACACCAAAGCTATGAAACATACGTGCTTCCGGATGGCTTGCCGTGCGTGAAAATAGCACAGCATTACGTCGCAGCCAAATACAGCTTTGGCAGCCCGCATCTGTGAAGTCATTTTGTCCATGACGAACGTTTTGACTGCATATTGTCCACCCATCATATCCTTGAACAAGCTGAACAGCTTGCGCAATGGCGCAAAATGCTCGCTTTCGACAAAGGCATACATTACGGGTCGACCGATCCCCATGCCATCTGTCACAAGGAATGTATAAAGCTTGTAACTTAACAGCGAACGTCAGTGGCTCGAAATTTATTTACCCAAGACGGTTAGTACCGTGTGTAGCATCAACGTTTACAACGTCCGGGAAACGTCTAAAGAGTGCTATCTGCTGCGTTCGGGAAAAGCACAGGTGACTATATCTGCCACCCTCCGATTCCACCAGCAGCACGCGACCGCAGTCTCGAAACTTGGCTATGATGGACAACATGTCATCTAAGAAACCGACTAAAAGGTAACCAACGACCTACTTAACAATGGGGGTCGACATTTGACGGGTTAGTTACGCACATCCTTGGTAGTCAGTACCTTTCCAAAGTGGTCGACGACATACCGCCGAATCTCCGACGATGGAACACCGTATTTCAAAACGGTACAACACTACTTTAATTCATCATTTGTCAGTCGCCGGTTGATGGGAAGCCTGTCAAAAATAAACTTGCTGCGTGGATGGTTGTGCTCCAGGTAGTAGGAAGTAATCCTCAAGCACTCATGTTACCGGCGAACGTGGAACCTTGCCGGACAATCAGTACGACGTATGCTACAACGTATACAGAATCAACCATGAACTTACCAGGTGCGACTAATTCCATGGCTGCTGCTTCGTCTGCAGTGATGTCTGCTGCGACGGTAGAAGGCCTTTTCATACAAAAGTAGCGAATAGCTGCTCTTTTTGGAGTTTATACGGAAGAAAACAACATAATGTTTCGCCTGGTACTCTTTCAAGGCGACTTGAAATGCACTGAATGAGAAAAAACATTGACGAGCTAAATTCTCCACAAAATCATCCTGCGCATCCACGTGCTCATCCATAGCAGCCATTTAAAATATGAATATCGCGGGCCTTGAATATCGTGGGTATTGAGTAGATATAAACAACTTTCAACAAAACTGCGGCCGTTTGGGAAGATCTTATACGCCCAATAAATTACCATCAAATGTGAAAACCTTATGTGAAAGTTTTCGTCCTTCGAACCACGGTATCAGAGAAATTTTGGGTGTGCGTCTTGCCGCCGGCACCGATCACCGATAAAGACAGCAAATTTTATACTAGGCGCCAAGAGTTGCTCTTTGATCTGGAAGACAATTTTTTGCGACGTAGTCACCTATGTGATGTATCTTCAATGGATCACTCCAATAACACAACGGCAACGTATATTTATTCAGTCTTGATTCGTTTTCCCAGCACAGTATATTGTTTAAGTACATGCATCCAATACAGAACAGTCTCGTGCGCGCGTGCTCTGTTTTTCGGCTTGTTTTCTTCGAATGTCTGGAGACCAACCTGCCGCGTATGTGCCCCTGTATTCTTTTCATAATTTTTCGAATAGGCTTCATCCACCAGTCCTCTGGGCTCAGAGGAATGACTGCTTATACGTGACGATATCTCTTGGTGACGTTAAAGATAAGGTGCTTGACCTCAAAGATGGATCCCTCCGATTTAAGTGAGTTCTCTTCGTGTTAACCACGTTTCCTTAGAGGGAAATCAGGCACCCCGACTCCACAGGAGTATGGTATTGAACTTGAATTCTACGGTCAGGTTGATCCGGAAGTAAGTTCGAAATAAGTGAATTCCAATTCGTAGGCTTCTCGGCAAATGTCCACTGACAGGGAAATTGTGATGTACATTAAGAAGAAAGAACCAGGTTCCTGGCCACGGTTACTGTCAAACATCAAGAAAGCTCCCTGGCTCAAAGTAGACTTCAACCGGTGGGTCGATGAAAATGATTCGGAGCCTGAATTCGGTGGAATGGATAACAACTTTTCAAGCATGCTCTCGCAGATGTCTAATTTCAATGACTATGGAGGCGACGACGCGGATATTGACTCAGATGATGATGGTAAGTAGACTAGGAGCCCTATGCTTATAGCAATAACATTATTTTTGGATGCAGTTATGTAGACACTATAGGTAGCGTTCTGATTCATGTCTTGGCGCCTCCACACCGGGTCGCGGGCTATCCGTCCCATGTTACAACTTGCTTCAGAAGTCGATGCAACAAACTGTCACACGCAGTGTCTAGCACGGCGGCCGTTCTTCGTCTAACAACCGGACATTCACCGTTGAGATTGATTCGTTTCCGAGAATGGAATCGTGTGTAACACGATCAGCAGGGTATGTTTTGTTTAAGAGGGATAGCTTGTGGTCCCATCAGGTTTTTCAACGGTGAGTCCTGTTGTGAAGTCGTCTAGTGGTAGTTCTGGACAAGCAAAGTTACCTGCCAGGAGGCGAAGTATGTGTAAGCGCATGATCCCCGAGGTAAACAATACCACTCGCTGGTGATTACATCTTACCTGTACTTCAAATGGGGACATCTTTTTACTTGGCTACCATTACAGCGTTCGCAAGCCTTGTCGAAATCGGGGTTTGCTTCCCAAGCGTAATTTATAAGTTTTATGGGGACAGTAACGTAACAAGACATTCGCCGAACATATCCATAGTCTGCGAGTCCTGAGTAAGATGGGAGAGGCCAGGCCGCCTTGCAGTGCCATTTTAGCATGGCGGAAATTGACGTTCAGGGTACCGCGTTCCCAACACAATGAACATGCTTTAGTAGACTGATGTGAGTCGGTTATATCAAGCCTGATGTCCTCAGCGAGTACGGTGAGCTCTCTAAAAGGTGTCCTACACAAAGTGGTGTTCGTCAGGGATGCTCACTCTCTCCATTCCTACCTAACTTCGTGATCGATGAGATCACGAGAGGGGCGCTGAAAGGTCCCCAAAACCCCGGCCTTCAAATAGCATGTGGCGAAAAACATGTCGATCTGCTCGCCTTCCTGGATGGGGACCTCGTGATCCTCACTGCGCCTGCCTGAAGACGCCAGAAAGGCTGCCAACCGGTATCAGCGACGAAAAAATTAAGCTGTTCCGTATTGACGCAATCGATGCACATTACTTGGGGGCACATCTATATCCTGATTTTCTATACACAAGCTACATACCATTGTGCGTGGATGTGCTCGGGTACTTAGTGCCCGAATATGACGTAGGTTGGCGTTCGTTGGGGGAGGAGGGGAGTTTCACGGGGTGTGCTTAAATTTCTGCATTCCGGGTTATCCTTGAAGTTTCTCAACTATTTTGAGATGTTCTGAGCCCGTTGGTTAGATTCGCCACCGCCATCCTGTTTAGCCTCTGACAGTAACTTAGTGCTCCCACGGTTTCTGGGGTCCAGTTTAACGGGCTCCAAAAGTTCTGAACGCTGTTTTTATAGTGTGCGAGGTCAGTGCGAAACTCAAGGTAGATGAACGGGTCGGTTGCTAACCCGTAGACGGCGACATACGTGGTTTCCTACTTGCTTTAGTCAGTGGCTGACCTCGTCGGGTAGGCGGAGAAAACTCTGTATCCGTTGAATTCTGGCAAACCGGCTTCTACTATGTTACCGAGGCCCACAAAGATAGACCATAGAACCTGCCATGGGCAGGCATGCACTCAGAATGCCGCCGATTTCGAGGACTTCGAGCAGCCTGTAGGCTTTTGAATAGTATACTGTTGTCCGGACACGTTTGCATCCTATTCTATCTGAGCCAAACTCTTCAGAAACGTGATCTCCCATCTGTAACAACTACCACGGGACATACGAACTGTGGAGCATCTAGGTAGTGGTATTGCCTGTCAACCATGAAAACGGCATGTAGTGGTTAAAAGACGTGGATTTTGAGTGCGGAGGTAGAACCTACATAATCTGTATGCACATGGCATAATAAAACAAGAGCACTGCGTGCCTCCTGGCAGTTAGAGCACTACAAGTCCATTTGCGGTTATTTTGACCATATAGGGAAAATTACTTGGTTAGCCAGTATGGGGGCGAGATGGCTCAAATGGTTAGAGCGTGAATTTACTGGCCTGAAGGCCCGACCTGTGTCTCTCGACTTCCCCTGTCTAGGCTTGGGCAGCCAGGTACCGAAGGGGTGTTACAGCTGAACGATTTTTTTAGACAGTATGGCCATAGAGTAATTAATAAGAGACCTTGGGACTGGTGTCGAGCAGTGAGGTTAACACTTCGAACAGTGAGTTATGGATGGATCACACCCGCGCTTCGGTAATGGTGTGTGAGTTGCCCAAAGGCGATGGTGAGTTGGCAAGCGCGTGGTGCGATGTCCGCTGTAACTCGGGTCAGTCTATGGTAATCATGACAATCTAACTGGCGGGGTATTCCTCAAACGCTGAACAGCGTGTGTTTGTGGTTTACTCCTGGTGAATGCCGTAAGCGCTCGCTTCGTATGATTTATCGAGATTGGGATATCCCCAAGTGGAATTACGGCGATTCAGCCAACGGCACTGCAGCATGGGCGTGCTGACCTCGTGCATATTGTTGGGAAGCTGCCTATGGTTATGCATGAATATACAAGGGCTCTCTTTTTCCATATATAACTTCCTCATACCATGCCGTTGACTACGGCACTAATTTCCGCCTGACTGGCTGTCGGTGCCCAAACCATTTTGATCCCATCTCAATAAGTATGTTAGTCTCCTTTCTGTTATCCACTTGCAACTTTCCCTAAGCTCTGTTCATAAAAAATCAGAGCAAAAAACAATGTCGGGCGCACTCTGTCCTAAGGTTCACAGCGCCTCCCTTTTAACCCGGCTAGTTAACAGAATTAGCCAAGTTCCTAGACCTTGTTGACGTTGACGTGCACCACCGTTCAGTGCATCTACCGAAGCCGTTTTAGCTGGACCCTGTACTAGGATATTCGGCAGTGCCTTCGAATTCCCCATTAGATCCCCTGATGTTCGGTTGCCACTGAATTACGCCCCAACTGACGCCATTCTACATTCCGTGGAAGTCAACCGCCACTTTTGTGCGAGACTTGCTTCGTAGATTAACCGCAGATGTGATGTTGCAGTAGACAGCTGAAAGTGACGAGAAAACGGGTGAGGGTCCCTAGCCTTGTCATTTTGCAGGCCCAGGGGTCTGGTACTTGAAAACATCGGTTTCAACTACATTTGTTCTCGCGTAGGCAGTACAGCTTGGAATGGTCCTCGTTCTTATAGTGCTTATACCCGGACGCCCATAGCGACGTAGTGATTAGTACGGTCGTATATGGGTCTAAAGCTATCGCTGAGGAGGACACTGTCACTGGTATACTATAGGTCAGATATCCACGGGCTATTGCCAATCGCCATCTCTGGTATTCCCTAAGAACGCCTCTATCCAGTGTTTTGCACCGGTGGCTAGAAATAAATTGAACGTCGGTTCTTAGTTATCTGCCCAGAAACATGAAGTCTAAACATGCACTGCCAACACTAAAGAATCGTCCAATGTCCGTACTCTGGGTCAGTTGACCTCCCCTGCCTCGGTAAATTCAGCAGTGACACTCTAAAACGCCTAGGTTGATAATGCAACTAAGTGATATCTGAAGCGACTCCTGACTGGCAGTCTCGAAAACCGACCCGGTTAATTAGTTGCTAAGGGAGGTCTAAGGGCTGGAAGACGAGGTGGTGAAATATTCAATTCCTTTTCCCGATTGTCGGCAATACCGGGCCATGGTAGTCGCCTGCCAGAAGAAGACGGCTCAAAAGTCCATTCCAAGTCCCGCCGCCCTTTTAGGCGCCGAACACAAGACGTTCATCTGGCCTGGGGTATCCAGCGCAACAGTCAACGCAGCATCAGCTTCACAACCGGACGTGAATTGCTAGGTCATTACAAGGGATTGGGTCATACGTTTGGAATGGAACAGAGTACCTGGTCCCGTTTTTCTGTATTGTGTATTCTGTACTGCACAGCATGTATTGTGGTGGTGCGATTCCTACTATGTTATCGACTAGAGAATTCTCTGCGCGCACTGTGTATGACAATTCACTGTCTATAGAGCACTGATTGGAGCTGTAGGAAACTAGTAAGCTAGGTCGGATTGGTTTAGGAAGAAAGAGCTCTTTAGCGATGGACGAATTTACTGGCTCTAAGGTCCGTGGTTCGAACCGGATTTCTGCATCTGGACACCTCCGGTCTAGGCTTGGGCAGCCTGGTAGTATCCCATCCATCGTGCTCTCTTTGGGTTGTATAGCAGCTAGGCACCGAAAGCGCTTTATACCTGAACGACTATTATTACTGGTTACATCTGTAAAGGCATGTACTTGGCATGTCAGGGAACCGTCTACTCATGTCTGCCTAGTGGAGACGACCGATAGGTGGGTGATCTATTACCTGGCAGCGAAGTATGGAAGTACTGATCTGTAAGCCGTCATCAATGGTGACCATGGAAGATAGCTAAGTCACGCAGTCAGTGACGCGCCTGCATCAAAATTTTTGACTTCAATGCCTAGTTACCCAGTTTCCAATCATCTCGGTGACNCGTCGTGTAGAATTTGCTGCAAGACAATTAGAAAAGCGAGTTTTTAGTGGAGTAATAGGGACTTCAACTGAGGAATGTGCATTTCAACCCTGAATATTTCATTGCATCGGGAGGGGGCAACACGGGGAAGCTTAGCGACCTTGATGGATTCTATGCAACCCCCCAGCAGTCTCGTATATATGACGATAAAGGGCGCTAGACTTGAAAACATGGCCGAATTTGAATCGGGGGGTTGCTCCCATGTTTGTACGTGCGGAAACTCAACTAACCTGAAAGGTCCCACCAAAAAGCCCCGACCATGTCGTCAGGCGCTGAGTAGAAATTGACTTGAGTAACGAAGCAGTATTTGCTGCAATCCAAATGAAGTGGATGTTGTTGAAGCGAAAACTGAGAATTTGACTGAAGTTCTCCATTTATCTCACTATCCCCGTCCAGTTCCGAAATAAGCCCACCTCGAGTTTCTCAGGTGGGTTGTGGTCTATGAGGCTGCTTACCTGAGACGCTACGTATCAGGGGCTGGTGTTCGCCTGGGTCAGTGAAAACCAAGCCGGGCTCCGTCGTGCAAGAGGATGCATCGCTCACATCTTCACCCTCCGACATCCCGGAACAGCGACACGGCTTCCAGCAACTAACAATGGTTATGTTTCTTGATCTGAAAGATGCCTTTGGCATAGCTTTCCTTGGATCGGACCCTTTGCTAATGTAAACATTATTGAAAAATCCAAATAATTCCGCGTAACGGTTTGGCGTGCGTAAAGTGTGAAGTGCTACTTCGAGACTGGGTGGGCTCGGAACCTAACCTCATGCTTTCGGATGAGCCGATTGAGATAGTAGACTAGTTTGCCTACCTTGGCAGCTGTATCAGTCCCGATGGTTTCGCAAAAGATGATATTTCCATCCGGATTGGGAAGGCCAGAGCAGCTTTTGTGAACCTGCATCACCTGTGACGTAGGCGTAAAGTCAATTTAGCCATCAAGGGTCGAGTTTACAATGCTTCGGTGCGCTTCGTATTACTATATGGATCAGAAACCAGGTCGCTGCGCTCGGAGGACGTCGAAACACTTTCAGTGTTTGACCATCGATGTTTTCGAAGAATTGCACCGGTCTGGTGGGAACACCCGGTATGCAATGCTGAAGTAGGTCGAATGGTATTCGGGAGGAATAATTCACCCTCGATAGATGAACCGATCACGTTGTATAGGTCGCGCTTGCTTGGCCACGTGCTGCTTATGCCATCTGACCGGCCTTGAAGGATTCTTTTCACATAACCAACTGAAAGTTGGAAGCGAGCCAGAGGCGGTCAAACAATGACTTGGCAGTGAAGTATGAAAGCCATTATCAGCAAACTCAGCTGCACTGGTCATTGCCGCCTTCCTGGATAGGTACCCTGAGGCGGGCCATATCAATGGTTAGAGATAACGTCAGACGTGGCCCAGTCGCACTCAATAGCGCTCATGCGTCCAAGTTATGGCCCTCAACGCATAGCTCCCTTCCCAATATCTCCATTTAACAGTTCACTGACAGTGTTGTATTTACGCACCAATTTGTCAGCACTGGTCTCCAGTGCGCAGCTTCCTACCTTATGTCCACAAATCACTGGTGAACGAAATTGTGTTAGCTACAACCACTACGACAGGTACTCTGTTCTTACAGTGATTATGATGATCATCTCCGCCTGAGAGCGGTTGCCTTCAGTCCGGTCTTGGCGCCTCGCCTCATTAGTTTGCACGTGCGTAGCTGTAGACGCTTTGAGCATACCGTCTCTGGAATCGTCTAGAAACTGGCCTGGCACCAGTAGATTAACTCACCGTCTTGTTTTAGGGCATTCGGGCCGTACATGGCGGTTACATACAACACAAATTAGGCTGGGATGCTGCCAGACTATTCAAGCTTAAACGGGAGCGACCAAAAAGCCATAGGTGGAATCGAGCCACGGACCTGTAGTTCTCACCGCTCTGAGCTCTCTGGCGCTTATCAGGTGAGAGACGTTTTGTAACCCTGTGTTCCCCAACATTGAACAATCTGTTACTTTTTGCATATAGGCCTTAGTATCCTGATCTGTTTAGGTTGGACGTTAACTGCTGCGTATTTTCAAGCGTTGTGAACTTGGATTTCTTCTTTCATTTTTCTCAGATCTTCCTGATTTAGAACCACCCACCAAAGCCACATCGGAAACTGCAGATCATCCCAACGGAAAGACTGAAGAGGAGGATGAAGAAGAAAAAGAGCCAGTGGTGCAGGAAGCCTGAGACCCGTTTCACTATCCTGTTCATTCATCTTTTGACATGTTTGTATAGGGATGCATTTTACAACACCCTTGCCACGTACTTGCGCGCATCTTCTCTATTTGTTCTGAGACGTCCAAGGGCGGATAATCCACTTCGATTCCGACTATTTGCTCGTTCTTGCTGCTGTTTTGCCGTGTTTTTGGGACACAGGACGCTCTCTTTTAGCATGATGCGAAGGCAATTCTAGGCGGCGTCGTACGTTAGACTTGTGTCCACTGCGATTGATCCGTCCCGGGATGACTGGAGGTTAGTCTGACATCCATTTGGTTTCAGGTGGGCTTTACGGTTCGGAAAGTGTCATTCGCGTTAAGTGTTTCGTCATTAACATACTAGGAGTGCCGCTCCACTGGTGACTCGTTTGTTTCTCACAGTTGAACAATACAGACTGAAAATACGGTAGGCGAGATCCTAACATTTAGTTAGCTTCCGGCATGTGAGACGTGTTCACGGTGAGACGGCATTATGACAAGGTAAAACTAGTGGAGTTTTGGTAACAATCAAAAGATGAGCCGCTTGGTACAACTAGTTTCATCTAGTTACTATCCTGTTTTCACCTTTAAGTGTTGCGTGGTGACTGACGTAAATAAATGAAGTACTAGCATTAATTATTTGCACTCAAGGTTGAGAGCACATAGAAGTACCGGTATTTTTGACGTGCTCGATTAATTCTCGCAGCCATGTACCGAAGCACCTCGTGAGGAAGGCTGGAGTTTGTACACCCTCGAACAATATGCGAGTTCGTCAACTAAACTAGGATCTCCCTCGCGACGCATTGCTCGTCGAATCGAATGCCTAAGAAGTACCATCGAACTCTGTGAGTAGCCGTGCCCTGGTCTCATCAGGAAATAAAAAAACAGCGATAGTGCTAATTTGTGTGTCTGTGTGAAACTGAACCTCGGGTCCTTTAAAGCTTACCAAAGAATGTCGTCTTCATGCTCTAGGCATTCAGTTGGACTACTGCAAGTCCATATGGTATGTCAAGCGAACTTCAACTCCAGGCTGCGCAAATCAAAAAGGCGGTGTGCTAAAAAAACCAGCTGAAATTTCCAAAACGGCTGGTGTATGGTGAAACTCCTGAAAGCACTGGGTGTTTCAACCGTGTTGAGAGCCATAGGCAGTATGAAACCCTAAGAGAGATTGGATCGCGATTCAGATGCAAGCTGCCGTGCCACTGTTGAACGGCGACTTCTGCACGCACGGGCTCCGATCAGGGGCGAAATCTCTAAATCCTCAGTTTTCTACTTAGCAACTATATGCAGTCGGTTTTAAAGGGGGATAGTCCTACAGGCCGCATCGACTTGTGACATGAAAAGTGGCCTGTCGAAATAAGGTCATCTAACGCGGCCTGTGATGCTTCTGTGTTCAAATGTGACAGTCACGCCCCTGGTCAGCCGCATGTGGGCCATCAACAATCTTCAGTTGTGGCTCATCTAGAAGTCCGGACTTTCTAGTTATTTATTTGGTGCACGCTTCCAACCAGGATGGGACAGCCGCTTTTATCTCCGATTTTTTCAGAATGAAATCTCGACTCACTTCAAAATGTAACAACCTGGCAAACAGGTTAATCCGATTGCATATCATCCACTCTAGTGGTAGTAGTGTCCACTCTATGTCTCGAGTCCGGAACGACCTGGAGATCTTTGTCAGGCATCCCAACAGGGGCGATTGGTTTGTCTACGTGGTTCTCTTGTCTAAGCTCACCCATGGTCAACCAGGTTTAAGTGTAGCTCTCAGCTACTAATTCAGGGTTGTCCCTTCTACAAGACCATCCTATCCGGAGACGATTCGTCACGTGAAACGCTTAACTGGAAGTTGGGTGGTTGAATTCTAAGTACGGTTCATTCGCACGTCATCGACAGCTTTCACGCTTGTCTTCGGAGAGGGTACCGTCGTTCATTGCTTTATGTGTAAGCGATCTGTTTTGCCGCCTTCGTTATCCAGGAAGCGTCTTGTCCCCTACATACTCATTGCGCGTCGCAGGCAGATTCAGTACCATCCAAGAAGGACTCGTGTTTAAAAGAACAGTAGTTATCTTACATTGATACGCACAGTCGTGGGGCTGTACCGTAGAATCAGTCGTTGCAGAGGTGGTTCAGGAGGACCCTACTTTTATGACAGCATGCGTAGATAAGGGTGGTTAATTAGACAGCGTACTGCGATTTCCCCATTAAAAGAACTGCCAGTGAAGCTATGCCCTCTGAAACTATTGGGTCTTCCGCCAAAAATAACTGGACTACATCAAATCGTCATGAGTTCACCTGGTGTCATTTGTTCGTTCAAGTGGGTGTATTTCGCCGAGTGGTAAGTGCTTTTCGGCGTAAGTTGACTTCGCTCAACAGAGTTCAGCGTAGAAGCCAACTTCACTTGGATTTATTGTCATCACCGAGAAAATCTGAAGGTTAACTGCCTACCTTTAGAAAAGTGCCAGTCTGAACTACAAGCTTCCAAAAATGACGGATGAGTTGCCATTAAGCACTTGCAAAAGCAGAATTGATTTTTGTGACCCACTGTCAGCCCCAAGTGTCCGTACCTCCGACGCCGTCAAAGACAGGTTCTACGACGCCCTGTTGTAGTGAGCTAAAAGATCAGGTTTCGTGGTGGTTGCCGGAGATATGAATGCACAAGTTGGCAGACTTAGCGTTTCTGAGATTCAATCAGGAGTTCGACATAGATGGGGCTCGGTACGTACGAACGATTGCTTCAGCTGTGTGCTGCTCGCACACGTGGTGTCCTCCAACGGCATGCCGACCACCAACTCAAATCGATCACACTGCCAGTGGCGCAGATCAATACCCGACTGCCAGTCGTTTTGGAACACATTTGTGGATTCCGATGATTCAGTTAATGTAAGACCTGGATGGCGAACCACCTATGACCTCAGGGGTTTACGACAGCATATTTTCTCTCAAGCGCCACCAAGCTTCTGTTCCGGATAACTTCCCACTCGCATTGTTCAAAGATGAGAGTGAAGTCCTCAGTCAGCGCCTGTCTGATCCATTTGCCAGCACATCGGAAACGGAGTCTGTCCCAGACAATTGAGGAAAGCCGGTGTTAGTGCCCATTTTCAAAAGAGGGGCTTGCATTTGAGTGTGTTAACCACGTGGGGAACAGCTTGACGCCGGTCGATACGGAAATGTTGGTGTCATTGGTGCTTTGTCGCATTACGGTGGCTCGTTAAATACTGACTCGAGAGCAAGAAGCGGGTTTCGGGTCTGGTAGAAGTTGCTTTGACCAAAACCTCACACTCCGTCAGGTGCTAGGACAATGCCATACGTATAAGCGACCCACAATTCTAGTATTCGAGATTTCCAAGGTGCATTCGACTCGGTTTACCGGTCTGTTCTTGACGCGCTTGCCCACCAAGGAAATGCCCAGGAAGTTCGTAAACATAATAAGCTCTTTGTATTCCCAGACTTCCGGAGTATACGGTGAGCTCTCCAGAAGCTTTCATACACGAAGTGGTGTTCGTCAGGGATGCTCACTCTCTCCATTCCTACCTAACTTCGTGATCGATGAGATCATGAGACGAACACTGGAAGGTCCCCCAAAAACCCCGGCGTTCAAATGGCATGTGGCGAAAACTCTGTCGATCTGAAATATGCAGACGACATCGTTCTTGTCTTCGAAAAGGCGGAGAAGGCGCAGGTGTTTTTGGATGAACTGACCAAGCTCACCCCGTTCTTTGACACGCACCTTGCACCCAAAAAATACAAGTTCTTGCTCCTGGAATGGGTATTTGGAGGTGTAGGCACCTCGGAATGATTGTAATAAGCTAGTGCTACGTCCCTTCCTCGTCCACACTTATTCTTTTCTTCACACTAAGGCTTTCAAATCTGGGCAGCGAAGTATCGGTGTTGCAAACTGAGGTCATGCAGTCGATGATGATGATGACATTGGTTTACCATCTGACATGCTTGACATGAAGGTTTAGGTTGTTGACTAATATCTGAAAGACAGCTGCGACTACTAAATTACCGCGTGTCAAATTACGCTCATCCAGATGTGCATCTCTGGACGACGAATTTATCGAAATGTGCTACGATACTGAACTTCTGCTGCACAGCGAAAGTGGAATTTTGATGAATCCCTACTACTGGAAGATATCACTTTAACATGGGCCACATCATCCTCAGGCAGGTTTTGTCCTTGTGACCAGCGCAAAGTTCCATTCATTTTATTAACGCGAGTGTCTGGATAATCCAAACGGTGCGCAGTTTTACCCAGTCAGATACTAATTTTGTGGATGAGAATTATCGTTATCTCTGAATCATGAACCTAAACCGAAACAAATACGGATATAATCTAAGAATTAAATTGCTTGAGTTAAGCTAGTCCTTATTGGAGGGAGGTGCATTGGTCGAACGAATGTTTTCAGGTCAGTTGGTTGAATGGTTTGTGACTGTCATCTATGTTCCTGGAAATTTCCTACCTGACTCAGTGGCCGTAAGCTTTTGATACACACAGTGTATATATATGAACAAGTCAGTTTCCTGCATAATTTTGCTTATCTGTCTATGCTGCGTTTTGAGCCGTTGAGGCGGTTGGCTACTGAAGCTTCATGCACTGTAGGTCTTATCATGATGACTTCCAGTTCCCTTTACCGAGAGTTCGGATCTAGTATTCCTGTCGCGCAGCTTTTGGGAAAAACATGGTTTACAACAGTGAGTTGTTTGTGTGGGAACGAAAACAGAAGCCCTTAGGTGTCATTAGCTATAAAGAAGGCTTCCTGGTCGGACCTTGGTCATCATACTCGAAAAATAAATACATGAGCATACCAGTGACTTGCATTTAGATTTCCTGTTCTGGGTCATTAAACTTGGTGATCAGCTGGGGTTGGTTGATTTTTTTTGGTACAGAGAGACTAGTGTTTCACGTCGGCTACTGGGAAAAGACGGAGCCAATCCTTCACCTATTTTCCACGCACCGACTGCAGTTGCCATTCCCTTGGCATGGAGCTTATTGGTTTCAGATGATACCCCCTGTGCACGTATCAGTTTACAGAAAATGTTGAGAACTGGAGTGTAGGCTGTAAACAGGGTAGCAGGCGGCACATCCTGTACAGCGTAACTAAAGCATATCCGTCTGCAGACCTGCTGCCATCCGAA